TACATAGGACCCAGGAGTTCACGGTTCGATTCTGTTCGGGGCACATGCTCAGGTTGCGGGCTTGGTCCCCAGTGGGGGGCACGCAGGGGGCAGCCGATCAGTGATTCTGTTTCATCATGGATGTTTCTATCTCTCGCTCCCTCTCCCTTCCTTTCTGAAATCAATAAAAATATTTTTTTAAAAAAATTAAACAGAATTACCATAGGATCCAGCAATTTCACATCAGATTATATATTAAAAAAAAAAATGAAAGAAGGTCTTGTGGAATCAACCCAAATGTCTATCGACCGATGAATAGATAAGCAAAATGCGGTACATACACACCGTGCAACCTTGTTCAGTCTTTTTTTTTATATTGAATATATTTTTATTGATTTCAGTGCAGCATGGACTATGTCAGAACCTGAGGAACTTTAAGAAAGACTTATTTATTTATTTATTTATTTTTAAATGAATTTTATTCATTTTTTACAGAGAGGAAGGGAGAGGGATTGAGAGTTAGAAACACCCATGAGAGAGAAACATCAATCAGCTGCCGCTTCTGAGTGGGAGCAGCCGGCTCAGCCTTGCGTGGCCGACGGGCCGGCCCACATGGGTGTGGTTCCTTTGCTTACAGCTGGGCATGTCGCTGGTCCTCAAAGGGCACCTCTCGTCCTGGTCAGCCCTCGCGTTTGTACTCACCTTCTTCCTAAGAAAGGCCTTTGCGCCCTCACCGGTGTGCTCAGTGGCTAGAGCGACAGCCTGCGGACTGAAGGGTCCTGGGTTCGATTCCGGTCAAGGGCACATGCTGGGTTGCAGGCTCGATCCCCGGTGTGGGGTGTGCAGTAGGCAGCCAATCCATGATTCTCTCTCATCATGGATGTTTCTGTCTTCCTCTCCCATCCTCTCTACAATCAATTTTTTAAAAAATTACATATTTAAATAAAAAAGAGAGAGAGAGAGAAAGGCCTTTTGTGCCATGGAAGGGTGTGGTCCATGCTTTCCTTCTCTGAACTCGCTTCTGGTCCTCCCAGCTCCGGGGGCCTCCTGTTTCTCACTGTGAGATGCACCATCTGTTGCAGTTTCTCCGTCATTCACTTGACTCTGAACTTGCTGCCTCCTGCCCTCAGATGCCTGAAACAGTGGGGTTTGCGGGAAGCGGCGGCAGCAGGCAATGCTGAAAGGCGTTGCTCCCTGGCCTGGCCTCCCCTGGCCGTGCAGACCCGGGCCTCCCACGGTTCTTTACTTGTCAGTTTGAAGTAGGATACTCCTCTTTGGTCCCCGTGGAAGCGGTTTATTCTCACTGGGGCACCGTGCTATTTATTCATAGCCAGTCCACGGGGAGCCAGTATTGATCTCTCCAGGCTGCTCAAGCGATGGAAAGTCATACCCATCAGTTATTAGTAAGCCTGAAGTGTATAAAGTGGTGCAGTCATGTGGAAAACAGTATGGCGGGTCCTCAAAAAATTGAACAGGCCCGGCCGGCGTGGCTCAGTGGTTGATGGTTGACCTAGGAACCAGGAGGTCACGGTTCGATTCTGGTCGGGGCACATGCTCAGGTTGCGGGCTTGGTCCCCAGTGGGGGGCACGCAGGGGGCAGCCGATCAGTGATTCTGTTTCATCATGGATGTTTCTATCTCTCGCTCCCTCTCCCTTCCTCTCTGAAATCAATAAAAGTATATTTTAAAAAAATTAAACAGAATTACCATAGGATCCAGCAGTTTCACATCAGATTATATATATAAAAAAAAATGAAAGCAGGGTCTTGTGGAATCAACCCAAATGTTTATTGACCAATGAAGGGATAAGCAAAATGTGGTACATACACACTGTGCAACCTTGTTCAGTCTTTTTTTTAAATATTAAATATATTTTTATTGATTTCAATGCAGCATGGACTATGTCAGAACGTGAGGAACTTTAAGACTTATTTATTTATTTATTTATTTTAAAATGCATTTTATTCATTTTTTACAGAGAGGAAGGGAGAGGGATAGAGAGTTAGAAACATCGATCAGCTGCCTCCTGCACACTCCCCACTGGGAATGTGCCCGCAACCCAGGTACATGCCCTTGACCGGAATTGAACCTGGGACCCTTCAGTCCGCAGGCCGACGCTCTATCCACTGAGCCACACCGGTCAGGGCTAAGAAAGACTTTTTTTTTAAAAAAAGACGAAAGGGTAGCCGCTCTTTCTTCTCAGGTATCACAGGTGGAAAAGTTCTAAGAATGATCCTTTGAAATCTTGTCCAATTTATGCTCCATAAATAGTCCAAAAGTGCTTTCAGATGTTAAAGAAAGGCGGCCCTCTAAGCAAGCGACCTTCTCCTTTCCTCTCTCTCCTCCAGGCCCTTCCTCCCAACGCCGTCACGGTGATTCTCTACTGCAGCTCAGTGACTGTTTTCTTCGCAATAATCAAACTGGTCAGCTACCGCCTCCACCTCATGTTCGACGAAGGAGAAGCGATTCAGCGGAGGCCCTCCGGAAAGAGAGAGAAGTGCAGCAAACACAGAGAGACCCACAGCGAGCACACGCCGAGCCACAAAGCCCCGAGGTAGCACGGCCGGCTCACGCATCGGCTCACCGTTAAAATGTTTTCATCTTGATTACAATATATTTTTTTGATCATTGATTTCAGAGAGGAAGGGAGAGGGAGAGAGAGAGAGGTAGAAACATCCACGATGAGAGAGAATCATGGGTCGCCGGCCTCCTGCACGCCCCACACTGGGGATCGAGCCTGCCACCCGGGCCTGTGCCCTGAGCGGGATTCGAACCGTGACCTCCTGGTTCACAGGTCGATGCTCACCCACTGAGCCACACCAGCCTGGCTCATGTCTTATTTTAAAGTCACGCTTATTACTCTGTCTTAAAGACTTAATTGGCATACAGTGATTCTGACGAAATGGAGTCTGGGGAAAAATTGTCTGGGGACCAGTACGGGAAGGGTCATAGTTCTGATTGCTAATTTCACTGCCCTCCTGTTTCCCCTGTTGGGTTAGCAATAACCAGCTGACTAGCAATGGCAAGAAGGGAGAGGCCGACCGGAACTGCTGCACGCCCCCCCTGCGCTGCGGCTCCCAGGGGCAGAACTCCGGCTCTCACCGCTCCTCCGGGCTGCTGGTGAGTGTGGGCTTCCCTGTCCCTTCTCGGGTGCTGGCGTGCAGAGGCTGCTGGACTGGGCGCGTGCACTGTGATTGAGCTTACCTGCACCTCGCTGTGAATCCTGGCCGGTGAGCCTGTGGAATAGCCCGTCTCAGAGCGAGCAGGTGACCTGGGGCCGTGCTGGGACCGTAGGAGAGACACCCGGTCGTGTGTTGGAAACACCCACCGGCCCGGCCTGCCTCTCTGGCCGGAAGAGCCCATTGCAGACCTTCACTCCCTCCTCCTCTCCTCTCCCTTCTCCTGGAGTCAGCTCCGCCTCTCCTCCTCAATCCACCCCTGTCCGTTAGAAGGTCAATAAATCACCGTTTTTAAAAAATATATGTTTTTATTGATTTCAGAGAGGAAGGGAGAGAGAGAGAGAGAGAGACAACAATGATGAGAGAGAATCATTGGCTGGCTGCCCCCTGCATGCCCCTTACTTGGGATCGAGCCTGCAACCCGGACATGTGCCCCGACCGGGAATTGAACCGTGACCTCCTGATTCATAGGTCGATGCTCAACCACTGAGCCACACTGGCCAGGCATAACTCACCCCTTTTCTAGATTAATTTTATTGGGCTCTAGTCACTATAGTATAAAGTAGGACATGATTTCTTCTCCGTATGCTACATTCTTTTTTTTTTTTTAAGAAAACTTGAATGTTTTAAATTATTTTTTTATTTTTTATTTTTATTGATTTTAGAGAGGAAGGGATTGAGAGATAGAAACATCCATGATGAGAGAGAATCATGGATCGGCTGCCTCCTGCACGCCCCACACTGGGGATTGAGCCCACAACCCAGGCATGTGCCCTGACCGGGAATCGAACCCGGGACCCTTCAGTCCGCAGGCTGACGCTCTATCCACTGAGCCACACCGGCCAGGGCCTACGCTACATTCCTGCACGCACCTCCTCCCTGCTGGGTTACAGCCCAGGGATGACTGAGTGGCCGTTCGCTAGAGAACGCCCTTTCATCACAGGGCCGTGGTCGTAGGTGGGTGTCTCCATGCGGATGATTTTGCGGTTTTTTTTTCTGCTGTCCATCTTATTGGAGGCTTAAGCAGCGTCACTGAGAAGGGCGGTGGCTCCTGCCTGCCTGGAAGTGGGCAATGAGCTGAGTCATGTATTGATTTTCCTTCTCTCCTTTACTTAGGAGCTGCCGGCACAGGAAACAGTGGAAGATCTCAAAGGTAGAGTGTCTTGTGGTCATCATTTAATATTTTATCTCGGCACGGTCCCCCGCGAAGTGAAAAACAGCGTCGTCAAAGAGAATCCCCGTGAAATCGTTGGAAATGCGAGCCATGCCTCAGGCTGCAGAGTTCTAGTTTCACTTCATCTCTTTTACTCTTCATTTTAATGATTTCTCATCGGAATCGGTATGTCACGTCTGCATCCAAAGTGTGACATTGTGTCGGTCATATTTCACTGTCCCTTCTCCAGTTCGGTCCTCATTCCTTAGGGCGCGTCATAGCAGGCGTAGAGTAAGTGTATCATCAATTTTCAGACGTGAAATTGGCTCAACCACCGAGCCAGGGTGGCCGGGCCCAAACAGGTAGTTTAACCCGTCCCAGCCTGGCTCCCAAGGCCATAAAACAGCAGAAGCTAAACTAAGTCTGAATTATTACATATTTTTTCAGTACAGAGATGTCAAGAACACTTTTGCAGTGAAGGTGACATTTTTCAAATAAGCATCCATTCGCTTTGGTGCCGGTGCCGTTTTCAGTTCTGTTGCTATTAGGTCTGGGCCCCCGGGCCCTTCTCCATCCATTTCCAGCGCGAATAAAGTTGCTGTTGTTGTTGATGGCAGGTGTCATCCTGGCAGAAGACCAGCCTGTGGCACCCGTGTCACCCACCCCACCTGGCGTCAAAACGGACAGCTCCCCTCCTTCTAAAGCCCCCGTGCCGGGCGCCAGGACCCTGCCAGCCGTCCCAGCGGAGCCAGGCGTGGCAGGAAGAGCCGACAGAGGGAGGGGCGGAGGGGGCAGGGGGCAGCCCCCTCTCCGCCACCGGTCGGAGGGCGGCCTGGAGGAGGCGGCCTCCCCGAGGACGGGGGTTTCCTACCAGCCGTGGGGGAGCGAGAATTCAGTCCTGACTCCGGAGCCCGGGAATGATGCCCAGGGCTCGGCCAGGGGGCAGTTGGAGAGCCTGAGCCGCAGCTGGCCGCAGTGTCACGCCATCATCACCAACCCCGGGTACCTGCCAGGGGACCCCTCCCGGCAGGCGGACCCGCCCTTGAACCCGCAAGGGGACGTCTCCGAGGGAGAGGTGGCCGTGACTCTGATTGACACCTCTGAGCCCGGAGACCTGCACGAGCCCATTAAGATCGTCATCACCATGAGCAGCGCCCGGGGCTCCATGACAGACCTGGACAGCTCGCTCCACCTGCAGGGGGTCGGCCCCAGGAGAACCGGTCCCCCACACGTGGAGCAGAGTGTCCCCATCATCACCCTCGAGCTGTCTGAGGACGGGGACCAGAGGGCGCCTGAGAGATGGATGGTGGAGGCCCCCTCTGCCCAGCGCACCGGCTGGGAGTCCGGGGACCAGGGCAATGCCACCGAGGCCCGCAGTCCTTCCCTGGGACGCCCCTGGGACTCAGCGCCCCCCGAGGGCGAGCGGGGCAGGGTCGGCCCAGCCAGCCTCGACCCCTCGTCGTGCAAGAGCAGCCAGGAGAAGCGACACGCCCGCGTGCTCAGCATGGACAGTGGCACCGAGGTCTTCCTGAGCAGGAGCCACGCAGAGGTTGGTCACGAGAAGGAGAGAGCGATGCCCACGTCCAAGTCCGACCTGGAGGCGAAGGAGGGACAGACTCCCAACGAGTCCAACTTCCTGGAGTTTGTCTCCCTGTTGGAGTCCATCAGCACCGCCAAGGTGGGGGCGCCTGGCCGGAGGCGTGGTCCCCCGGAGCCGGGCAAGGACGGCGGGCTCCCCGGAGGTGAGTCACCCCGGGGCAGGCGGGGTCTCTCCGTGGGGTCTGCCTCTGTGGTTTGGTTTTGCGCGTAGTGGGACCACCGCCGGGCACTGGGATTTGCTGCAGGCGCCGGCCCCCGAGCGGCGGCACCTAACCAGTGCCTGCCTCCTGGAGGGACCCAGTCTACGTTAGCTTGGAAGCTTAGATTTGGAGAACGCGTGAGGGGAAAAGACGGATCTGTTTTTTGTTTGTTTGTTTGTTTTGTTTTTTAAAATATATTTTATTGATTTCCTACAGAGAGGAAGGGAGAGGGATAGAGAGTTAGAAACATCGACGAGAGAGAAACATCGATCAGCTGCCTCCCGCACATCCCCCACCGGGGAAGTGCCCGCAACCCAGGTACATGCCCTTGACCGGAATCGAACCTGGGACCTTTCAGTCCGCAGGCCGACGCTCTATCCACTGAGCCACACCGGTTTCGGCTGATCTGTTTTTAAAATGGGAAATGGGACCTCGCTCCAGAATGGCCAGGTTTGTGGATGTGACGGTTTTCGTCCGATGCTGCCCACTGGTGCCTAAGGAACCTGAGTGGGTGATGCTCAGCCGGGGGAGCCAGGGTCCTGGGAGCGATGTCAAGGGCGTCCCTGCATCATCTGCCCGGGAGGCAGACGTGCTTGGCAACGTCTACATCATGCCTCCCACACATACGCTGTTTTCAAATACATTTCAGTGGTTCTCAACCTTCTGGCCCTTTAAATACGGTTCCTCATGTTGTGACCCAACCATAACATTATTTTCGTGGCTACTTCATCGCTGTCATGTTGCTACTGTGATGAATCGTCATGTAAATATCTGATAGGCAGGATGGTCTTAGGCGACCCCTGTGAAAGGGTCGTTCGACCGCCAAAGGGGTCGCGACCCACAGGTTGAGAACCGCTGGTTTAGGTACTTACGTAGTCAGCCAAAGGCATATTGAAAGGCACTCTGAATTCACAGGAGCCATTTAGATTTTCTCTCTACCCTTCGTTTCGGTTTGGGTAACTTATTTCCAAATGCTTGCACGTGAACTTCTCATTCAATCTTACACGAACACGTCAAGCCATGCTTTGCAGATAACGGCTCCCAGGAGAGGAAGAACGAAATCCCGGAAAGTGGACGCAGCGCCAAGCACGGGAAACCGGACGTGCAGAGTCAAGAGCTCGCCAGCCCCAGCCCCGCGCGTACGGAGCCCGCCAAGGTCACGGCCCTGTAAGGAGATCTGGCTTCTTGTCTAGCTGCGCACAGGGGCCCGGCAAGCGGTGGTCTCACTCGCCGGCCGCACCCTCTCATGCTTTGCCAGGACGTGGCGGTGTCCCCTTCCTGCTGGTGTTTGAACCTGGCGTGTCTGTTAAGTTTCCAGGGCAACCGGCAGAGACGGATCATCTACAGGGTCACGTCCCAGCAAGACAGCTCCGTCTTGCAAGTCATCAGCGGGCCCGAGACGTCCATGCAAGAGGAGAGCTCCGGGGACGCCATGCACGTCTTCATCGACGAGCACGGTGAGCCTTCGGAGTGCGTCCCTCGTGAGGAGGGAGGGGCAAGCAGGCAGCTTCGGTGGGATCCCACGTGGTCCCTTGGCCTGAGCACGAGGCTTGGGGACAGGGAGACGTAGTCCTAGGATTGTTCACATGGAAGGTTCTTAGAACGGGGCACGCTCTCTCCTGCCCCAGGGCCTTTGCACTTGCTGTGTCCCCGCGCCCACCATGCGCTGTTCACCCTTCAGATCTCACGTCCAACGAGAGCTGCCCAGGCAAACGGTTCCTGAACGCCTCGGACCTGGTCGGGTCCTGCTTCGTGTTCCCCTAACACCCACTTCTCATCTTCCTTGGATCCTCTTACAGCTTGTAATTCTTTACCGACTTAACGATTATGCCATTAATGGCATTTCCCCCCTCACAGTGGTAAACTCCAGGAAGGCAATGGCCAGGACCTAGTCAGCAATTTTGGATATATGTTGAAAATATGGCCTTGATATATTTTGGTGCCTTGTTATAAAAAGGATTTAACATGGGAGAAAGGAAGGAAGGAAGGAGGGAGGGAAGGAAGTAAGACCTAGTCAGTAATTTTGGATATATGTTGAAAATGTGGCCTTGATATATTTTGGTGCCTTCTTATAAAGAGGATTTAACACGGGAGAAAGGAAGGAAGGAAGAAATGAAGGCAGGAAATATGTAAAAGTGAATTGAGAGATGGTACAAATTAATCAAAAGCAAGTGATAAGTAACTGGCATCAAGTTTGTTTAAGCATGAAGATGGAAGGAAGGCTCACTAGGTGACAAGTTCAAAGTTCTGTAGGTAAGTGATACAGCCCCTGGTTTCTCAAGGATGGGCCCTGGCTTGGGTCTCTTACAGATCAATTAATGCTTGTAATTTACTCTCATAAGGATCCTGGCTCAGTGGTTGAGCGTCGACCTATGAACCAGGAGATCGCGGTTTGATTCCTGGTCTCTCTCTCCCTCTCCATCATCATAACTCACATGGTGCGTGATCCCTAG